TGTGATTACAGAAGCCAGAAAAGGGCACCAGATATCTTGGGTGGAGTTACAGGGGTTGTAAACTGCCATGTTGGTGCTGGGAATTAAATCTGGGTCCTCAGCCAGACCAGCAAGTATTCTTAATTGATGCATCATCTCTCAAGCCTACAATACTATTATTTTTCTGAATATTTATTTATTTATGTATTTATTTATTATGTAAACAGTGGTTGGCCTGCATGTATGCTTGCAGGTCAGAAAAGGGTACCAGATCTCATTACAGATGGTGTGGGAATTGAACTCAGGACCTCTGCAAAAGCAGTCAGTGCTCCTAACCTCTGAGTCATCTCTCCAGATTCTACCATTATTATTATTATTTTGAGATAGGGTTTCATTATGTAGCCCTTGACCAGTCTGGACTGTGCAGGACCCTAGGTAGGATAGGCTGTCTTGAACTTATAGCAGCCCACCTGCTTCTGCCTCTCAAGTCCCAATATGATTTTTTTAAGGAAGCTAGAATAAGTGAAGTAGGTAAGTAAAAATTTATGCATGGATCTAAATTAATTCCTGAGAAGCAAAGTATCTGTAGTCATTATTTCACTTCATTCTGAGAACAAATAAAAATGAATGTGTCAAAAGCAATGACAATTATTATGTCTTTATAATTTGATTTCTTACATATTTTAAACATATTCTCTTAATTAGCAGCGCCTCTTTGTTCTTCAGTCTTCCCAAAGTGAGACTGGATTCAGCCTCTGATGCAAAACAATGTGTAAATTTTATGTAAGATGACAAGCAGAAGAATGACAATTGTTTTTCTACTAACAGGTTAGCAATGACAAAAGCCAATTGCTGAGCAAATATCTAATTTATAAAACATCTCAAAAAAATCCTAGGCCATCACTATCAATTCATCAATTCCAGGCAAAGATGGAATTTTAGAGCTTTACTTCTCTTAACCTTGGAAACCCACCCATGAGTGTTATTAGCCAAGGAACAAAGAAAGTGTGTTTCAAAAGGTTTGAGAAATGTCACCATAATGATCTTATTAGGATTATGATTGAAAGCTGTTCAGTTACATAATAATGCTGGACATCTGCATCCCATACATGGAGAGGTGTGGGCTCAAGCCTGGCTTTGCCTTGAGCTGCTTGCACAGGATTCCATGGAACACTATCAGTCATTCACATTACCAGAATTCTCACCACTATGGTAGCTGAGCCTTGTCCCAAACTTAATTCTGCCACCTTAATACGATGCTATCTCCTTGGCTGAATATTCATAGCAATAAAATTATAAAGGAGACAGAATGAAGTCTGAGTGTCTAGTCTCTAGGACATCACTACATGCCTTTCGTGTGTGCTAGGAAGTGAAGGAAGTTTTACATTTGAGATTCTTGTTGAAGTATTTAGTATTATGGTTTAAGTTTTAAATGTCCCCCATGGAAAGACTATGGGCCCTTTTAGAATTGGGACCTTGTGTGAGAGGAGATGGTTCATTGGGGAATTACCTTTGAAGCAGAAAGGGACAGTGGGGGGGGGTTCCACCTCTTCTTCCTGGTGCGTGTGAAGTAAGCAGTTACCACAGGGTTCCTATCATGACGTCCTGTCTCACCACAAGCTCAAACCAACAGAGCTAAGCAAACATAGACATCAGCTTCTGAAACCGTCATGAAGATATTTCTTCCCACCTTTGCGGCTAATTTTCTCAGGAAATTTTCTCTTCCCACTGTGACAGAAAACTGACACATTGAGGGTCAAATGTCTTGGTGCTTGGAATTTGCCTCCAAGTGGTTTAGTTAAATAACTTGGGTGGCAAGAGAAAGGTGGGGAGGGGATAGAGAGGAGAGAGAGGGGGAGTGGTGGTGGAGAGAGCAAGGCAGAGAGGGATGGAGGGAGAGAAAAAAGAAAGGGAGGGAAAAGTGTGAGGGCCAAAGGGAGCAAGAATGAGGCACCTTCGGGAGGAGAAGCCAGTGTGTGGGCAACGGCAAAATAAAACAGGCATTCATTTTACAATTCCTTAAAGTTTCTTTTGTATTTGGAAAATTTTCAATATGAAGTTGTGTAAGAACTTAATTATCTGCGTGAGGAAGGACTCGATTGTGATTTGAGACTTCAACAAGGCAATAATGACCTTTTAAGAAGGTGACCATTTGTCTTCATTGTGTTTACTACAGGCTCTATGGCTTTGGCATTGTCAACGATTCACTCTTTTTTTTTTTTTCTGAGACAGGGTTTCTCTGTGGATTTGGAGTCTGTCCTGTCCTGGAACTAGCTCTGTAGACCAGGCTGGCCTCGAACTCACAGAGATCTGCCTGCTTCTGCCTCCGGAGTGCTGGGATTAAAGGTGTGCACCTCTAAATACCCAGCCAATTCACTCATTTTTAAAAGGACATCTGGAGTTACGAAGTAATTGAGTAGGTAAGCACACACATTTTCTGGCACTCTCCCTCCTCTCCTAGATTTTGGTTATACATATATTAACGTGGCCCCCTTGTTATAATTGACAGGCCCATGTGGATGTATTCTTATGAAAGAGAGCCCACGGTTTACATTAGAACTTTTCAGTCTCTGGGCCTGGACAAATGTGTGACATACATATAGCCACCGTGATGTTACCTCCAGTGTAACTGCATGTCCAGTCTTTGGTTTCCTGCTTCCCCTGACCCCTGGCATCCACTGATGTTATGCTTTCCATAGTTTTGGCTTTTTCATAATGTCACATTTTCAGAATCTTGTAACAAATTTTCCCAACTGGCTTCTTTTATTTAGCTGTGAGTAGTTTCATCATTCTTTTGTGGCTCTATCGCTCATTTCTCCTTCTTGTGCAAGAATAGTCCATTATATATGACTATCTGCTTACCAAGTGAGGATATTTTGGTTTCTTTCTGTGTTTAGTGGTTATGGTTAAGCATCTAAGCATTTCAAGATTTAATTTGTGTGTGTGTGTGTGTGTGTGTGTGTGTGTGTGTGACTGAATGTGTATGTGTACCATGTGCATGCAGTTCCTACAGCAGCCAGGAGAGGGAGTCTCATTCCTCCTGGAACTGGAGTTGCAAATGGTAGTGAGATGCTATAAGGGTGCTAGGAATTAACCCCTGACCTCTGTAAGAGCAGCAAGTGTTTTTAACCACCAAGCCATCACCAGTCCAAGGCTTAAATTTTGTGTGCACTTGGATAAATTTTAATCCCATTGGATAAATTACTAAAAAGTGTGTTTGTGGAATCCTATGGAAAAATTAGTCTTTGATTTGTATGTGACTGCCAAATTGCCCTCTAGAGTGACTGTGCCATTTTGCATTCCCAGAAGCAGTGAGTGAGCTGTCGTGTGGCTCTGCATCCTTGCCAACATTTGGCATTGTTGCATTTTTGGATTTCAGTTAATCCAGTATGTATGCTGTGCTTTTTAATTTGTGTTTTAATTTATAATTCCCTAATGGTATATTTGGTGGAGCATAAGCCTATTCAATACATGTATTCTTTCCATGCCCATTTTGACAACCGTGTACATTGTTTTCTTACTGAGACTTCAGTAGCTTCTTATACCATGGGTCTTCACATGAATGAGTCAAATGAGAGTCTCGGTCTTGAATTTACTTACTTTGGCACGTACTGGCCATATATAGGCTCTGTATATTTGTTCTCTTTTACTAACAGAAACTGGATGTCTTTCTGTCTTAAAACAAGTAACACTTTTGACTCCTTTGTAGCCATGTGCCACAGGACTGACTAAGGAGAAGCAAACCAGAAGGTGCTCAGTGGGGCTTCCCAGAAAGATTGTTAAGAGGGGAAGAACTCCATTGGGATGAAAATCACTGATATTTTGCCCCATGTCTGTCCATCTACCATTCTCCCAAATGTGATGCAATGTCTAGAGGACCCATCTTGTAAAGATGATAGCAAATATCACATAACATGGGACATAGTACTAGTGACTCTAAAAAAGCACTTAGGGATCACAGTCTGTTCAATGTAAGTGTAGATGCAGCTTAGGTAAGGCGAGGGTTACTGAAGAAGGAGAACAGGGGATAATGAATGCAACTAGCAATCAGGAAAGACGTGGGTACCATATACCTTCAGAGTTTTGAGTTCTTGATCAATGACAATTTTAATTTGATTGTCAATTCATCTTTGGGCTGGGCATACATTATCATCCCAGTTTCAGTGTTTAGAGTCCTGAGGAACTGAAATCTTGTTTACCTGTATATTCCACATGGCTGTTATGGGAACTGAGTACAGAGCTTTTGATAGCTGTTGAAAGCAGCATAGATTTTGTGAATGGTGCATACTTGATCTGCTGTTTTTCCGGTGACATGTACTCTGTTCAAATCTCTATCAGCAGTTAGGCATTAAATTTATCACATGCCTTAGGACAATCTGAATCAGTTTTTCTGTGGAAACACACACCTGTTTCCATTTTGTGATCTGATTTGTAAAATAAATAAATAAATAAATAAATAAAAATAAAAAGCATGTGTAAGATTTCTGTTTCTAAAACTCATTTCCTTCGGAACCTAGGAGAACACACTGTCTTCTTTTTTATTCCCTTTCCTCCCTGTCTTGTTTATTTTTGTTTCAGTTATCTGGCACTACCTGAGACCGAAATAAGTTGATAGTTCAAGACTATGTAGTAGGCAGTGTGGCTTTCCTCATAAGTGGGGGTGGGGAATAGGATTGGAAATGGGTGAAGACAGAGGGAAAAGAAATCTGTAGATGAAAAAGATGGGAGGGTTCTGAACAGATCTGAGCAGGGCTTAATGCCAACTGATGACTGGGCTATAATCCTCTCAGGCTTGGGTGAATGAATGCTCAGCCCAGCACGGTGTCTGAGGACATGTAGGTAGACAGCCTGTGTCAGAAGCCCTCAAGACCCAGGTGAAGGTTAGGCTACAGGTGGTGACTCAAGGGGTCTGGGAGAAGAGGAGGTTCTCAGGTCCCCCTGATTCCCCACCTTGAAGGAGGAGGAGGCCTGAGGAGGCACCGCCTCCTCCGCAACGCCCCGCCCCCGCAGCGCCTACGCTGCCCGCTCCTCACCGTTTACCATTGGCCGCAGCGCTCGCCAATCCAGCCCCCTGGCCGCTAAGGGGGCGTGGCCTCGCGGTGCCGGGCCGGGGGCGGCGTCTGTCGCCGCTGCGCGTTGCGGTGCGGGCGGCGGGATGATGGAGCTGGGATCGCGGCGCGGTGAGTGCGGCTGTGGTCCTTCCCAGGCTCCTGGCCGACCTCCGGGGGACATGGGGCGGGATTCCGAGGGCGCCGCGCTCGGGCTGCGGACCTGCCCTGGTCCCTCCCGGCCGCAGGTGGCGCCGCATCCTCCCTGCGCATCCTTCATCCCAATAGCTCCCGTCCCGCGTGCGGCCTGGCCTGCACCGGGGTCCTGCTGGCCGCGTGCACCGAGGCTCCGGCTGCTCCCGGCCTGGTCCACGGCGCAGCTTCTCTGACTGAACATCTTTCTCCCCCTCTGGCTTTGGTACTTCCCAGCATATGCCGATTTTTCCTCTTGGTTTGGCCTCTCTGCAGTGGACAGCAGAGTTCTTAATTATTGAGAAACTGTGCGATAGGCCGGGGATTAAAGGGAACCTGTCATCTTCTTGGCTGCTGTTGAGTAGAATAAGGAATTCTTTACCATTTAGGGGTTGGTTTTAATATGATGGTTGTCTTCTAGCAATGATTTTTTTTTTTTTTTTGAGTTTTCAAAAGCCGAAGGTTAGAAAGAGCCCCTTTTGCGTCGAATCTCTTAAATTCATGCCTAATGAGGCATGATATTTTGACTTTTAAGATTCTAAAAACACGTTTTTGTAAGGGGAGGGACTGGCCATTTGCAATGTTGTAACATTTTGAAAGTTTGGCTTGTCTAAAACTGTGAAAATGCCCGCGACTATTCAGCAAACCGAGTTTAGAGTATTATATACTTGGCTGGTTTCTGTCTCATCCAGGGCAGATTCCCCTGAGCACCAAGTGTTTTTGTGCATGCCTTCCCAAACTTTCCTATTCAAGCAGCGAGACAATGCAGTCACTGGGTCTTTTCAGCCAGTTCTTTCATCTACTTGAGAGGCTAAACCAAAGAGAGCAGGTTTGACCTTTCCCAAAGGCAGTTAAAGATCATGTCCTCTTGGCTCCCTTCTCCCAGGGTTCTAATAGCTGCCTTGTAGTGCTTTGAATTTAAAAGATCTTTCTTTTTTTTTTTTTTTTTTTAAAGAAAGCTGTGTTGTTTTAGATGTTTGAAGCTCACTGGATTGTAAAGGAGACCTTGCTTGGACTTGTATCTGTGTTGCTTTATTTATAGGAGGGAAAAGAATCTTGTTCTAGACCTGTCTATAAACATCACCTTTGCAGTTAGGTTTACAAGTGAACCTGTTTTGGGCATTGCTTGATCGGTTTGTTTAAAATTTATAATCTCATTGATGGGTGTTGGTTATTTAAAAAATTCTGAATATGAAGCTGGAACACATTTTGCTAAGTGGCCATGCCAACATTGACAGCCCCTCCCTCTCCCCCAACTTGGTCCATCATCAGTCTGTGTACACACACTTTACAGTTTTCTTAGAGACTTAATATGTTTACAGGCAAGTTTTTGGTTATTGGGATGTTTGAATGAAAACAACTTTGTTGGATAAATATGGAAAGAGTACTGTGTTCTACTGGTTTTGGGATTCTAGAAATTTCCTTTATAGAATGTAGGTTGTGGCTTCCCTTGGGAGTGTGTCTCTAAATTGCTGTACCAACTTCAAATTGCTCACCTTCTCAGTTTTTTTTAAAGTTAATTAACTTATTTTAAGTGCTTGTTTAAATTCAATTTTTGTGTGTTCAGTGTACACATGTGCATGTATGTGTGCACATGTGTGTATGTGGGTCCTCTGTGGACTTTCCTGGGGCACAGTTATCACTGAACTTCAGGCTCTCAGCTTTTCTATCTGGTGGTCACAGCCTCAATAGTTCCCCACTCTCTGCCTCCCCTTTCTTCCCAGGGCCAGGGTTAGAGATGCACAGCTATGCCTGGCTTTCTACATGGGTGGTTAAGATCCAGACCCAGTTCCTTATGCATATGTATAAGCACTCTTACCCACCAAGCTCTGCCCAAACCAAGACTGTTTTATTTGTGTTAGGCCCTGTTTCTAACTTTACTTTTGGGGCACATGGAACCACAAGTACATTGGAAAAAAAGATTTCATGTCAATATAGTGATTAAATCTGGAATAAAAAGTGCCCATTTCTACCCTTCCAGTCTTGTGTCTGTACTGATAGTTTCTTCATGGCTATCCAAACTTAATACTATGGATACTATGGGGTATGTCTCTCTCCAGAATTTTTTTTTTTTTTTAGAAAATTATTCATTTAATGTGTGTGGTGTTTTGCCTGCATGTATGTCTGTGCACCATGTGCATTCAGTGCCCATGGAGGCCAGAAGAGGGCATATGGCCCTGTGGAACTGGAGTTGCAGGTGGTTTTGAGCCCACATGTGGGTGCTGTGAACTGAACCCGAGTCCTCTGAAAGAACAGCCAGTGCTCCTATCCATAGAACCCCAGATTTGACTTTTTTTCAAGTGGCCTTTTCTATTTAAGTGAGTGTGTACTCAGTACCAAGCACTATCTTACCCATTGGGATTGTAGAAGTGAGAGATACAAGGTTCTCCATACTCTGTCCTGACAGACAGTGGGGTGTGGTCAATATTGTGATGGGCAAGCTTCATAAATGACCTAACGTATTCATGAACTTCTCTTCAACCTTCAAGATACTTTAGAGTCTGTCATGCATGGTAGGAGTATACTGGTAAACAGGACAGATGTCTCTTTTGGCTGCCAGTGGACTTAACTGTGTACACACTGGCTGCAGTGTGTATCTTGAAAGGGCCATAAAACCCCAGAGGAGCATCACTAACTAAAAGTAAGGGGCTGTTCTGAGATGAGGACAGCTCCCAGAGCAGGTGAATGAAAAGGAGATGGCTCTAGTGTCAGCTGAGGGAGAACTGTGCAAAGGCACGGGCAGGGTGAAGTGGAGCAACCGAAAGCAATCAGTGGTGGATGTGCATGCACAGGGAAGCAGCAAGGAGAATTAAAGATGCAGCAATGCAGGCCATTGCTGATGGCAGAGTTTGAACACCAGTGGTTGAAGGATTTTGAACAAAAGGGAGATGTGGCTAGATTTTCCTGGGGAGGGGGTGGATGAGCGGGAATAGGGGAGGCTGGGAAGAGGGACATTTGAGGAGGTAGAATTGGTAGGATTTCATCATTAGTTGCATGACTGTGTGCAATTCAGGGGAGCTTGATAATAGCTTTTAGTTAGTACTCTGTTGTCCTTGGTGGTTTGTGATTTGGTTGGCAGCCCAGGATTTCTAGGCTTATAAGTGGGGACAACAGCTTCTGGTGGCCAGTGATGGGGCTCGGCAGGTTATGCTTGTCCAGGTTGAGTCTCAGCTGCTGTGGGACAAGTATTCTGTAAAGTAGGAGCAGCGGTGGGTGGCATGAGATTTGGGGAACTCGACTTGAAAGAGAGGCGGGAGGTAATTGAGAAGCAAGAAGGTGATGATATCCAAGGGGTGCCTCTGCCAGGGGTGTGCTGCAGCCAGGATATCGCTTGTAATCCCAAGGTGAGAATGACACCTAGTGATGGAGACTGGAGCCCTAAGGCTGGTATGCACCAGGGTTCACCAGTGGGTGGGAATCTGGATTGTAGACTGCCCAGTTCTAGAACTTTGGTGGTAATGGTAAAAGGTGGGCTCAGGGAGTGGGGTAGGTGTAAGGCAGGAATAGGTGTAAGGGGCAGCCTTGCTGATTTTGGGTTCTATCTGGAAGGCTCTGAGTTAGTATAAAGAACTCAGATGGGAGGTATTGGAGAGAGGTCCCTCTTCATATCAACTTCAGGGTAGCTGTTGGGTTTGGCCTAGATGTGCTATTAGTAGCTTTGCTGAGTCCAAGCCTTGTTGCTGTGGATTAAGAAATGAAGGCAAGAGAGAGGAGCCAGCCAGGGTAGGTGGGCTTCTAAAACTCTGGGAAGAGAGAAGAGTAGAAATTCCTTTTTCCCAGATGACAATAGAGAAGGGCATCTGGTGCAGCCTAATTTTTTCCCCTCTTCTTTCTCAAGACATGGAGATTTTAGAACAAGGTAGTCCTTATTTGAATGGGTTCCAGCTTGGGCTAGTTTGTCTTTGGGTTCCCCTTGCAGTCATGCTGTCCTTAAAGGGGGAGTGCCCCCCTTTGCTGTCTTTTTCTTTGATGAAAGAGTGTTCTCTCTGAGTTATGTCTTTGCACTTGCTTCAGGGCCAGCTCTGTTTGGGTCAGAGCCCGTCCTCCCAGGTTGGTAGATATCCCTAGATAGAATGACTTTTCCATGCTTACGTTTCAGTGACTCTCCCATGTTTCCCCTGGACCCATGCCTGCTCTTGGAGGTTACCACTTTTTTCTTTTTTTTTGTCTTTCTTCTGAGGACTCTTTTAAATTATTTTAATTTTAGGTGTTCCAAATATCCCAGGGTACACTCTCATCTTTCAGGCCAAGCTTCTAAGCCTTGGTTCTGATATCAGAGTCTGGGATCTTTTTCAACTTTGCTTTACCTTTTCTGGGTGATACAAAGAATTAAACCTATTACCTGTCCATGCTAGGTATGCCTTCCCCCACCAAGTCTTCTTAAAGCTTTATTATGAGACAGGTTTCACTGAGTTACCCAGGCTGCTCAAGCATATCCTAGGATCCTCTTGTCTTGAATAGCTGGGATTATTTGCCTGCATCACCATGCCTAGCCACCTACTTCTTCTGTCATATTGCATATTTTATATAAAAATATATATGTGAGTAAATATGTGTTTTATGTATATAGATATGTATATATATATATATATGTGAACTCTTTTACCATATAATTTTACGGTTTTCCTTTCTTTTCAGTGTGCTAATCACTTTTAGTCTATTACTGTAACAAATGCCTGAGATAACCAGCTTCACTGCTTTAGTATATGATCATCTGGCCTTTTGTTGCCTTTAGGCATATGGCAAGATGTTGCATCACAATATAAGTGACTCCTTGCTTCAAGACCAGAGTGAGTGTAGGAAGAAGAAACTGAGGTCCTACAATACTGCATTTCCAATGTCTTGAAATTTTCCACCAGCTCCCTGTCACATTTCTCTGGCAGTCAGAATTTTATCACTAGACCTTAAAGTTTGCAGTTTGAACTGTTTGGATACTTGTG